TCCGCCCCCGCCTCTGTTACTGGGGGGTCTCGCCTCCATCGCTGGCTGCGAGAACGCTGAGGGCACGTGACCGGATGTACAAAGGCGGGCGCACCGGGCACGGGACCCCAGAGCGCGGCCGCCATGACACCTTCCGCTAGCTCCCTCCCTCCTCACCAGTTCCCGCCTGTTTCGTTTCTTCTCTCTGGCCTCCAGCGGTGGAGAGTCCCGGGATCCTGGAAGGCCCACCCGTTAGGCCTAAAACTTCTCCGATCCCTGTCGGCGTCGTGTCTTCGGCCAGCAGCACCACGCCAACTGCAGGCCGTAGAGAGCGTAATTGCGACGGCGGCCGGAGGGGGAGGGACCACGCACGAGGAGGAGCATAAGCTGTCACGTGACAAGGAAGTGCCGTTAACAACGTCCCTGCGTCCCCGGCGCCCCTGGATGACGTAAGCGGAGGGGCGGGGTGGGAGGAAAGACTGAAGTTTAGATTCCGATCTTAGTGCATGGTGAGTGGCCGGGGCAGAACCCAGAGAGAGAGAGTGTTGGACCAGCTGAGAATTGAGAGCGGCTGCCCTGGATGTAGCGGAACCGGACTGGGACCTCCAGGCTGCTGATCTAGGAGTCTGGCTTTGAAAACCTAAGTTACCGGTGCGCCTCTTTTTAAGACATCTGAATACAGTGTAAAAAGTTAAAACACTGTTAAAAAGGTAGTTCCGCTAGGAGAGGGGCTTCTTGTGGGCAGAGACTGTATTTTGTCCTTTCTGGTGTCTCCATTGTGTGTACGGGGCCTGAAACGTTGTAGGCACTCAAATATTGAATGAATGAATGCGTGAATGAGCAAGTCGCGTTGGTCAGAGGCGGAGTTGTACTCTGATCATTATTTCTTGGATTAGAAAGAGCCCACTGTGGAAGGGAGATCTACTTCCTTTTTGCATCATTTCTTTACTTTTTGTTCTCTAATTTCTTTCGCCTTCCTCCTCCCACGCACCTAGTAGGGCAAAAGTGGACGCCGTGATCTGCAGTTGATGTATAAGTAGCAAACACCGTGTATTATTTTTCAACGTACCATTAAGTAATTCAGGGAAATGGAAAGATGATTAAATTGTGGGAACCTGGATTGTAATACTTTTGTCTCTTATGAACTCTCTGAACCTTGGGCAAGCCAACTCCAAGACATTGTTTCATTGCCTTTTTTTTCATCTTGCTAAATTGATTCTTGTATCATCATATAATGACTTTATCTCTGAAAGAGACAGTGGGGGAGGATGTGCTTACCAGAGAGCATACCTCCTCCAATGGGGCATGATCACTCCATTTTGACGTCCTGTCACAATTTGGTGCACACAAGCCTGGAATGTTTGTCAAGCCAGTAGGGTCAGGATTTAAATCAGTCAGCTATATGAAACCTGACTTCTTTAACCATGAGACTATGAGTCCAGTTCCCTTATTATAATTTTTTAATTTAAAAGTCTATTTTATCTGACATAACAAATCCCGTTTACTTTTGGTTTCCATTTTCATAAAACACTTTTCATTCTTTTACTTTCTGTCAATAAGTCATTACTACTCAAGTAAGATTTTTATAAAGTATACAGTTTGTCTTTTTAAAAAAAATCTATTCCGTGAGTATGTATCTAACCTATTTACATTCAACTGATGAGGATTTTCTCCTATCATTTCATATTTTCTAATTTTGTATTTCACTTATTCCTTCATGTTTATATTTGTGATTTGATGATTTTTCTCTAGAGTTAAGGATTTTCTTTCTCACTTGTGTATATTCCCAGTGGTTTTATACTTTCACATGCTTCATTTATGATGGTAGTTATCCTTTTGCTTCCAGATGTAGCACTCCCTTAAGCATTTCTTGCAAAGCTGGTCTCATGGAGACAAATTCCCTCAGGTTTTGCTTGTCTGGGAAAGACTTAATTTATTTATTTAAATTTTATTTATTCATTCGTTTATTTTAATTTGACCAGAGAGAGAAAGTGAGAAAGCATGCCACCAAGTCTGGGACTCAAACCATGGTTGATCACATGGGAGTGTCCAGCACCTTAACCACCACACCACCTGCTGGTCCCCGGGAAAGACTATTTTTCCTTCACTTCTGAACGACAGCTTTGCCGGATAAAGTATTCTTGGCTGGCAGTTTTTTCTTTCAATACTTTGAATTTATCATGCCATTCTCTTCTAGCTTGTAAGGTCTCTACTGAGAAATCTGCTGTGAGTCTAATGGAGATTCTCTACTATGTAACTTGTCCCTTTTCTTTTGCTGCTTTTTAGAATTCTCTCCTTGTCTTTACATTTTGACAGTTTTGCTATAATGTGCCTTGGAGAGGGTCTTTTTGGGTTCAATCTTTTTGGGGACCTTTGAGCTTCCTGAATCTGGATGTGCATCTCTCTCCCAAGACTTGTGAAGTTTTCATCTATTATTTCATGAAATAACTTTTCTATGTCTTTTCCTGTCTCTTCTCCTTCTAGAACTCCCATAATGTGAATATTTGTTTGTTTAATACTGTCCCATATGTCCCATTTTTTTTTCCCTGTTTTTCTCTCTGACTGGATTATTTCAAATAACTTGTCTTCAAGTTTGGAAATTCTTTCCTCTGCTTGAAAAAGTCTATCATTAAAGCTCTTGAAGTGTTCATTCTTTTTTATTCTTTTTTTCTGTTTTTCCTCTCTGACTTGATTATTTCAAATGACTTGTCTTCAAGTTTGGAAATTCTTTCCTCTGCTTGATAAAGTCCATTGTTAAAACTTGGATTGTATGTGGTATTTCTTTTTTTGGCTCCTTCTGCTCCAAGATTTCTTCTTGGTCCTTTTTAATGACCTTTGCTACTTTGTGGACTGAATCTTTCAGATCACATAATGATTTCATTAATTCGTTGAATTGCCTGTCACTACTCTCTTGTATCTCATTGAGTTTCCTTATAATAAAAATATAGAATTCCGGAGGACCAGCAGTTGGTGTAATGGCTATATCGCTGGTCTCCCATGTAGTCGACTGCAGTTTGAGTCCTGGACCTAGTGGCTTAAACTCACACTGGGTGCGTGTGCATGAATGCCCAAGATCCCAAGAAGAGAATGGAGGAGAAGGGATTGCGGTGTGGCCACCCCCCCACCCCCGGGGGATAATTTCTAGCTTTCTGTCTCTCTGTCTCTATCTTTCCGGTGAGCGCACACACCTTATAGCAAAAACCTCTCAAAAAATGTTCAATTCCTTTTTAGACATTTCACAGATTTCCTTCATGGTAGGGTATGTTGCTGCAGTATTATTGCATTGCTTTGAGAGTGTCATGCTAGCTTGTTTTTTCAGGTATCTTGTATCCCTATATTGGTATTTGTTCATCTGGTGAATAGCTGTCTGTACCAGTTTTGTTTTTTTTTTTTTTTTTGAGAGATTTTCACTATAGGGCGCGTGCGCTCGCCAGACAGACAGACAGAGACAGAGAGACAGAAAGTGAGAAATCACCCCCCAGGGGGGATGGTCACGCCGCAATCTCTTCTCCTCCGTTCTCCTCTTGGGATCTTGGGCACGCACGCACATGCACCCGGCGTGAGTTTTAAGCCACCAGGTCCGGGACGCAAACCGCGGTCGACTATGTGGGAGTCCAGCGACATAGCCATTACTCTAACTGCTAGTTCCCATGTCTGTACCAGTTTTATAGGATGGCATTCCGGGTGAAAAGACTTTCTCCAGTAGTTGTATCCTAGGATGCCTGCTGAATAGACTATGTTGGAGCCTTGACAATTTACAGAGGTAATATTTAAACTCAGCTTTGCAGAAAGGCAGGGTTTTTAAGATGGGAGAAGATTCAACAAAGAGCCTGTATTAAATCATGGAGTCACAAATTTATGGAATGAAACAAGAGCGAAAGACAAAAGTGGACTAATATAAAGAACCTGTCAACCTATAAAAGAAGACTGAGGCAAAGCAAGTAAAGATTTTATTTTGGCCAGGATTAGGACAATCTCCAAGTTGCCCCTGATAATGTATGGCAAGATCTTAACAGATTTCAGGGTGATTTTAAGACGAAAAATTGCAAATGGGAATGGGGAGTAACAAGGAATCCTGCAATCACAGCAGTGATTGGTCAGATCTCAAGCCAAGTACAGAGGAAGCCTGGAAGGTAAAAGAGCAAAGGATTTGGTTAATAAGGAAGTCCATAAAACAAAGAGTCCAGTGAGTTCTCATAGCATCCTGAGCCATTTACATTCCTAAGGGAGCCCCAAGATAAACATGTTTTATTTTCTCAGAGCTCTAACTTAGACTAAAAATCTCTTATTTTCAGGAAAAATTGGTCAATTTTAAGACTTACTAGTTTTTCTTTTCTTTTTCTTTTCCTTTTTTTTAAGGAGAACTGTTTATTATGCAGGCAGACATGGAGGAATTAACAGTCTGAATCTCCAGCCAGACTTACTAGTTTTCTTAAAGTTCCAGTTTAATGATGTAGCATTTTATTTTATTTCACACCAGTTCTCTTCCCTTAGGAAGGTTTCTGTGGTTCCATTTACTCAATGTGATCCCTTGTCTTCTGAGCTCTAACACATTACTTTATCTCTTGCAGAGGGCACATTATATTAAGAACAGGGTTCAACTGGTAGAGAAGAAGATTGTGTTATGTGTATGTAATAAAAAAATTGTACACATTTATATTTTTTGCTATTAGAAAACATACTTGACAAGGGTTAGGACTTTGGTCCACTTCTCTCCCGGACCTAGAACAATACCTGGCATATAGGTGGTACTCAGAACATACATGTTGAGTAAATGAATAAATGCGTGTTTTTCGCAGAAAAAGTCAACACAAAACTTCAAAGAATGAACAATTAGAAACAAGTATAAACTATTATTTTTGAGTTTGTCTGTGGTATTACTTTGCATTTTATTCTTAATTTGGCAGGTGGCAATGGATTAAGAAAGCTAAAATTATTGGGTAGGATTTTCTTAAGTTTCCTTTTTTTGGAAATTGGTGCTATTTGACAAAAATGTGCACTCTGAGAATAGTTTAATTAGTAATCGCTATTATGTTAGTTTATGGAGTCCTCGGGTATTTGGCATTTGCTACCTTGTATTCTTTTTATTTTTTTAAAATTATTTTAAATTTGTAGGGAACCAGCAGTTAGCGTAATGGCTATGTCGCTGCACTCCCACGTAGTCGACCGCGGTTCCTGTCCCGGACCCGGTGGCTTAAAAAAAAAAAAAAAAATTTTTTTTAAATTTGCTATAGGGCATGTGTGCTCACCAGAGAGAGAAAAAGGAAGAAGGAGAGGGAGAAAGTGAGAAAGCAAGCTACCAGATTCAGGACTCAAATCAGGGTCAGCCATGTAGGAGTCCAGTGCTTTACCCACCATGCCACCTGCTGGTCTAGCTACCTTGTATTTTTTTTTTTTTTTTTAAAGAATTACTTTATTTAACTTTCTTTCTTTCTTCCTTTCCTTCTTTATTTTAATTTGACCTGAGAGGGACAGAGTGAGAAAGAGAGGGAAAGTGAGAAAGCAAGCTGCCAGGTCTGGTACTTGAATTGTGGTTGGCCATGTGGCCAGCCCCACTACCTTCTGTTCTTATCATTATTCATTCCTGGCTAGTCTCTGTTATTATTGTTTATTCATTTTTTATATTTATTTTTATTTATTTATTTACATTCATTCACTGTACATCATTATAGCATACAAAATGAGATTTTTACATTCACAGTACACTGTATATTGGCTCAATCAAGCAAATCAACATATGTGTTATTGTCAACACATAATTTTCCATTTCTTGTTTTCTGTATATTTTGCCTTTTTTCCCATCCTTGATTCCCTATCTC